GGTTAGCACTTCCACGCAGGCTAAACTCATCGATCGGGTTGCGCTTGCCGGAGGTTCGCAATGAGTTATGTGGCCCGGGTAGAGGAATTCTCTACCAAGGATTAGGTTCTCATTTCCATCTCCATGCACATCATTAGAGATTATTTTCCCGTCCCTGTCCTCGCTGGGGAATTAAAACCCGTGAAGATTCCTCGCCCATACGTAAAATTCTTACAAAAATCAACAATAGACCAATAACTAGCAGATCAACAAGACCATCAACTCATCATCAAAACACTGCAAACTATCAATAGATCTTCACATGTCTAGTACACTACATATATATGCAAATAGTAGATTGGACAAAGATGTCATTCATAAAATAATATATCAATACCACTATATTGCGTAGCCACAAGAGTGAGAGAGTTTCACGAGGAATGGTTCAATGGAGACTACCTTCTCCACATTTATCCACACGGAGACTAAATCGGACATAGCCCCTGCAGGGAATCGGGCATCGGGGGCCATTACCATCTCTAGACTCGGGTAAGCTACACTCGCCTATATCATGTGACCGATGTTGCTTTTGACGATCGACAGTTGACTGTTGTGCTGGTGGCCTTATACTGGTCACAATATGCCAATGCTCTAAAATATCATGTCATAACCGATGCTTCACTTTCATTTAGGCCACAGTATGCCGATACCCCGAAATAGCTAGACAAACATCACTTAATTCTCTCCCCCGTCATAACTCTTGTCAGATCTTCATGTCACTTACAGGTGGGACCACATATCCCCTTTCAAAGCAAGCATCGACGTATCTACTTTTCTCGATGCCAAAGTTTGCGATGCCAGATTTTTTTTTTGCTGCAGTGGGCAAGCATCAAGGCTTAGATGAAAAAACGAGTTTTAGGCATCGGTATTTCACCACGCCGTGGGTGGTTGAATAGGCGTTTCTAAAATTTAACAATAAAACCTAACAACAGATGAGCTAGGTGCTAAACTTCTGCAAACTAAACTTAGAGATATTGATTTAGAGATGTGCATTAGAAAGTTCATAAAACACCTGCACTCATAAACACACATAACCAAGTAGATCTAAGAGAAGCACAAATCAAAGCAAGAACTCAAAAGTAAACAAATCCAAGTGAATAAATGAGGATTTGCTTTTCGAAATTCAGCTCCTTTGAAGAAAGGACTTATATCTTTGTTGATCAAGGAGATCGTAAGTGACCACCAAAGATCAAGCTTTAGCCATGTCTATTTCAGCTTCTTTGCTCGCTTTATTATTGGACTTCTTCCCATGTAAGGGCGAAGTCAAAGTCTTCACAAAACGTCCTACGGATCACCTCAAGCACATAAGGGCACTCACAATATAGAAAACTATCATAGTTTCTATGTGCATTAATTATTCTGCCACCTAAGTATTTTGCTGATGTGGCAAGCAATTTATTGATGAGAGATGAGGAAATGATTTCTTAATGAAAAACCATGTTTACACGAGAACCAAGACATGAAGAGATGTGATAGGTAGATAAGAGATGTAATAGGTAGATAAGGGAGAGAGAAAATATACGATTAGACAAAAGATTATTCTGCAGAAACCATTCATTGGAAACGTAGTTTTTATATGTAGTATCTACATGTATAGAAACTATACGTGATTTCTAGCATTAGGAGTGCCCTGAGCTCACGGGGCAACACCTACCCATCAAGGAGGCTTGACCTAGAGAGTAATAAATGCTTCACGAATTGTTTGACAAAGCACACAAGTGCTTAATGATTTAGTTGCTCACTCTTGCTCTCAACCATCAAACCTCTCAACCTAACTCTCTAGATTTCTCACAAATCATGCAACCCCCTCATAAAAGAGGGTTAAGGAGAACGAGAAAGTAGAAACACCTCCAAGTGAATGGAAGCTTAGAATTGTATATGGAACGCCCAGGTGGCACAGAATTTTCACAGAAAAAAAAAAGACATCATCATGAGAAAGGCCCTAGGTAGTGAGGAGCTCATCGGCCTGTACAAGTCTCCCCATCATCTGAGACCCTATTTTTAAGGTGGAATTATATGAATTGCCTGACATCCTCAAATGCTTCTTCATCATCGTCACCAAACATGGCTACCATTTTCATGGCTAACTTCGAAGCCATCTCCCTCCTCTGGCAACCAGGCACGAGCAGGTTGGAACGCATGTTGCCAGTCTCCGACATCAGCTTTGCCATGTTATCTAGACCATAATGCTTGTCCTCAAAAATGTTGTTTTCTTTAGCAGTTTCCGTCGGTATCACTCAGAAGAGGGTTGCATGCTGGCCTTCCCAACTTGATGTGTGCGATCCTACATACCATCAGCCTCATCCGATCTTTCAAAGCTTCTGATCTACATGTCTCAATAATGAATCCCCACTGGCCATAAGATCCATGGGACAGGATCTCTTACTAAAAACTCATAGTTGGATTCATCATTTGTAGATTCTGTCAGAATGAAAATGAATAATAAGGGGCAGATAATGCATGATTTTAAATTGAATAATGTATAGGAGCATACTTGTGCAGAGATTGCACGACATGTTTTCTCTAAAAAGGAGGGTCAGCAAATTATAATAGCTGAAGTTACTTTGATAGGGACCTTAGCATGCCATGCTAGCACAGAACAAGCAAGGCTATCAACACTCCAGTGCCAATTTAGTTCTTTATGACATTGAACTTACCATCCTTTTCAACCAAGGATGGAGCAGTAATTCTGCTTCCAGAATTCAAAATCATCCCAAGCCACATATGTGCAGAAAGAGCACCAAAGTGCCGCTCTATGTCTTGGCTATCACCATCAACAGATAAAAACATCCACGACTCCTATAGGATATAGGCCTTTTTCATTGGAGTCCATAAACATATAAGATTTCATTGCTACAAATAATTAATCCATACTTAGTTTAGAGCCCATGATAATGGATTGATCACTGGAAACAAGAAATGCTTGATGGCAAAGATGTAATAGAAATTTGAGGAAGAAAAAAAATTAACATTTGAAGGTTTACAACCAAAGAGACAGCTTACACTTTCAAAGTTAGCAATGGAAGCACACGCCTCACTGCCTCAGTATCTTCTATGTTCTGCTCAATGCACCACTGTGAGGTAGAGTTTCTGATCTCTATGCATAGCTTTTCCTCAGATAACAAGCCACGGCCCTCAGCTCCTCACTTTCATTTATCCCAAAATTCAAATATTCAGGGCGTGGATCAGAATTTTTCTCCCAAGCCTTTTCATATGCCTCCTATATTCTACATTCACACCATGGCCAGGTCTGTTTTCTCTGCAGACCAACATTGGCAGCCCAACTCTGGACAGTAAGCAAGGAGGATTCCTGCATAATTATTTGATACAATTATCCTGCTTTAGTATTGAGGATTTAAAATTTAGACCCAGAAAATTAAACGTTCGCAATCTTTAAACTTAGATGGAAAATGCAATTAAGGTTGCATGAGAACACAGATTCAGTTTGAATGTCACTCTTATTGAAGACCATAATGAGGCAGCCAGCCGGTCTAGATGAAAGAGGGAACCAACTAACCAAGAGAAACTCTTCACCAAGATTTGTTGTCTAGATGGAAAAATTAGCTGTGTTTCAATTGTCCACCTGCATGGCAATCAGTAGCAAAATAAATTATATCAAGTATCAGAAGACTTGACTGAAAGCCAAGCTTTCTACCTTTTTAAGTATTTGACATCACTCACAAACAAAAAAAGGTAACTTGACATGATGCTATCATATAACCCAACAAAGCACATAGGATGACAAGTCATGTGTGTAAGATATTTCTGATACTTGACATGATGCTATCATATAACCCTACAAACCTGAAGTTCATGGTGAAAACAAAATGAACAGGAAATAACAAGCACCGCCACCAATAAAAAAATAGTAAATTTTATGATATGAAACAAGATCTTAAGCAAAGCATAACTTAAATATCTGCTCCTCAGCCCAAGGAATTCATCAATTACCAAGCTAATGGATGAAACTAGAAGTGCTAATTTATGAGCTAGGGTACTTTTTTCTCTATCTACTCCAAAATCAACACCCTATTTGCTTTCTCCTTTCAAAATACCGGTGGACCACGGGATCTTATTCTCCTCCTCCCTAACAACATGAACACATCAGATTCAGGTCCTAAATAGTTTAGCTACCCTACCCAATCAATGTTTCACATTCAAACAGAAAGATGGAAGTATAAAGAAAGGAGGATAGCGAGATCTCACGGAAGAGGATGGTTTGCTTAGGGCACTGACAGGGAGGACAACGGGCACCTCCAAGGATCACTCCATGGCCTCATGCCAAACCACTGTACCCTAACACCAGATCAGAAACTCTCCGGCTGTGTTTTCCCCACTCCCAAGTGGGAAGGCCGATGTGACCGAGCAACAAGAGAACCAGGTACCCCTGCAGAATTGTCACACAACATGAGCAGCAGACCTTGTACCCCTGTACAAGACATACCCCCTGCACTCAGCCCTACCATCAAAATACACATGCGCACAGAAAACGTTTTCCACCTTTTCTCTATCCGCTCAGGCCAATGGCACACTGTCAACACAACAACAGATGGCTGCAATAGCAGCAACATCCATGCCAACAGCACAAACCACATCCCTTGCCACAATATATTCTGCTGCCTCGTAACAATACTTATCTTATTGCCTTGGTCCAAAATGGTTAAATTGTTGCGATCGGAAGACAGATCAAAGCATATGGTGCCTGTGGGAATCCTTTCTTCACTCATATATTCTAGTTAACAGTTAACAAATTCCATTCCCTGCGATAAGACAACAACACACAGTGGTACCATTTTCAGTTGCAGATAGTTTGCCAACCTTATTGCATCCAAAAGACCACGACCACGAGCAAATGTTTTCATACATCACATAATGGCAAAATGCTCAAACCCCGATCAGCAAGCTATGCACTGATGATGTTCACCTTCCTCTGAATATCAACACAGCCAAACTTAGGGGAATTACCGATTGACATCACCGAACAACACCTTATAAAACCGCCTCCTCTCCTCCCTTTTCTCTGCACTATCCAAGCGCGCCGCTTCCTCATCCTCCACCTCTTTCTCTTTCTTTACCTCAACCTCCCCTCTCCTCCTCTTCTTCTCAAAATTCATCGCTTGCCGCCGTTGGTTATACTCATGCAGCCCCTCCTGCATGAGCTCCCCGAGCCGATCCTTGGCCAGCACCACCGGATCCTTCTCCCTCAGCTCTGATCCCTCGTAGCCCTCACGGAGCACCACTGTATGTATCTTGTACCGATTCGACACATAGAAGAGGCAGGGGTGCCGGAGCAGCATCCTCACTGTGTCCTCCGGCAGCCCAAACTCCCTCCTAAAATGCTCCAGCTTCAAAATTGACATCTTTCTCCACAGGGTGAGAGAGAGGAGCTCGTGCACCACGGCCACCGATCGCTTCTCGGCTTCGGCGTCCGTGCCCGGCAAAGCCCACTCCTCCGAGTAGGGCGAGATGTAAGGCGTGGAGGCGTTGAAATCCTCCATCTTGGCGTGCGACTTGACCCATGAGGCCGGTAGCGAGCAGGTGAACCGTGGGGTCGAGTAACTCGCGACCGCGGCGGCCTCGACGGCGGAGACGGCGAGCGAGGGCGCCCATCTGAGGAGCTCTAGCTCAGCGGCGTTGCGGCGGTGCGGGTAGGGGTTGGTGAGGCGGAAGAGATCGGTGCTGGCGGGGAGGAGGCGGAGGAGGTAGTCGTCAGGGAGGCCGAGAGGGCCCCGCAGCGCGGCGAGTTTGGAAACCTGTAGGCGGCGGCCGCGGGCGAGCATGAGCACGCGCGCGAGGCGGTCCGCCATGGCCGGCTCGGAGGCCGCGACGGCAGCTTCCTCCGCGTGGACGAGCGCCGCCATCCGCTTTGTGAAGCCGAAGTGGGGCTCCTGCTCACCGCCACCGGCGTCGGCGGAGAAGACCTCGAAGCAGGAAGGGTATTTGCCGAGCCAATTGGCGGCGCGGCCCATGAGATCGAGCGTCTTGAAGCGGGACTGGAGGAAGCGCACGGGGGCCGTGCGCGACGGGAAACGGAGGAGGAGGCGCTTGATTTGGTTGTTGACGACCCAGCGGCGGTTACGCCGGAGCGCCGCCTCCAGGGCGGGGTCCTTCGGGGACGACCACCGCGGCATGCTCGGCGACGAGGCACGGCGGCGGGCGCGGCCGGGATGGCGCGTCGAAACGCCGCCGGAAGGGTTAACGCGAGCGGGCTCGTGGGCTTCAGCCGTTGCCTGCGAATGGGCTTGCTTTAAATTTTGGGTGACTTTCTCTGGGTAGTTATCCTAGTTGGGCCTTTTGGTACGACCATCGGATCATTCCTCTCATCTCATTATCAGTCGAAGAGCTAGTCTAAAAGAAAAAAAATCATCAGTCGAAGAGCTCTTTCCTTTCCTCCTCCCAATCTAAAAAAAAAAACACTGGAATGATCTTCTAAGTGTGTCGGTAGAAGAATTGACAGTTTATTTTATGTCCTTGTTACTGCCTTCATTTTAAATTACAAGATGTTTAGTTTTTTTAGATACATTATTTTGTATCCACTGCCTCTCCGGCTTTCCACATATTCATAGTATAAGAGTCTATCTGGTTACACATAGATAGTTACTAGTTGAGGCTAAAATTAATTCAAATTAGTTATGGTTGTCTGCCTAGTTGTCTAACAACTAGTTGAAGACTTATTTAAAAAATTAGTCGACCTATTAACTCTTTTGTTTAGGTACACTAAAGCTAATTTAGACTAATTTTAAGCTAGATAGCAATTAGCCTTTGTTTCAAACATGCTCTAACAAACCATCCTCGCGCGCCGGGGAGGGGGGGGGGGGTGTTGTGAATCATGTACTGGCAATGTCTCTGCGTATCCATACATAAATAAACAATGTCAACATTTACAAACCATAATAAATTATTTGATTTTTTATGAATAAAATAAATATAATGCTAACTAAGCTATAAATAAATCATCATCATAACGTAACGCAATAAGCCACTAACATTGTCCCCACTTAAAAATATCAGAAGCGAACTCTAGAGAGCCCCCCCTGCTTCTGTTGTATCCCAAGAACAAGAAATAAGAGTCAAGCCGACCTTCCTGGGCCGCAAGACGACCTGCGGAACCGCCTACCCAAGCACAAATACTCGCATCTCCTACCGCGGTTTTGATCCAGAACGACGGCCGGCCAGCGAGCCTTAAACCCTACACCCGCCCAAACCCACACGACTCACAAACATGGCCGCCGCCGCCGCCGCCGCGCGAAGGCAGCGGCCGCGGCCGTCTCCGCGGGGGCCGCCTTCGCGCTCTCCTCCGAGCGGGCCCACGCCGACGGGGGCGGCTCCACCTTCCGCTTCCCCGGCTTCTATTCCTCCGCCCCGCACAGGCCCCTGGCCCCGCCGCGCCGCCGCCCCAGCAGTCCCCACCGCCGTCGGGCGGGCGGCGCGAGGAAGCCCCGGAGGAGCCGCCGAAGGTTTCGACTCAGCACCCTCGCACCAGTGCCGCGGGCTTCGACCCCGCGCCGTTGGAGCGTGGGGTGGAGGCGCTTAACCAGCTCAATAAGTCGTCGGACCCCAAAAAGGTGGGCATTTTCGAGGGGCTTTCTCCTCGGTTCTTTTCCCTATTTTGTTCTACGGCTGGTTTTGACTGGGGGCTGTTTTCACCCGTGGTTGTGCAGCTGTTCGAGCTTATGAAGAAGCGGGAGGAGACGCACCAGCAGGAAATAGCTGCGAAGAAACTCGAGTTGCAGAAGACACTGGCCGAGATCGAGCTTGTGAGACATCTCTCATCCCATCACTCTGTTGGCCTTCAATTTGTTGGTTATGATATTTTGTACGAAGGAATTATCACTTACTAACTAACTTACAAGCTGTTCGGCTGATCGTTTCTGGGGCTGATAAGCCGACTGATGCTGTTTTGCTGTGAGAGAAAAACATTGTATCATGGCTGATAGCTGCAAAGCCTTTTAGTCCCAAGCTCATCTCGTCTGGGGTAAGCAGTAAGGAGCTAGTTTGGAGAACATTGCATGAAAAAAATATATAGTTTCGAGATTTAAGATTACAAATGACGATTCTATGCCCTCCTGGGAACTCCAAAAATGAGCATCACAAGTTCATAATTGCCATGGATATAGGACCTTCAGTAATGTGCTTCCATATGCATAGTGTTTGCATTCCTGTTGATGACTGGTTTTATTCTGTGCTGCAGTTAACAAACTGCTTCACATAACTCTTTATTCTTGAAATCCTGAATTGTGTGGCCATATTGTGCGGACTCTGACCTTCTTGACTGTCTGCAATACAAATGTTGGTGATCAACATACAACATCTTAGATTTACTTATTCATTACTGCTCCTATTTTTGCAGTATTTTACAAGTCTGTCAGAATGCTATTGATTAACTTGAACAGAGTTTATGTCTGTGTGTTGGTTCTGTTACATATTAAGTACTTCATTCAGATCATGTCACCCTTATTTATTCATTGAATAGTGTGGATCTGTGATGAAGGGATTGATAAATTGATGTTTACTGTTGCATAATTTCTCCAGTCACAAGTGTCACTTTGCACACTGATAGTCTCCATAACATAGTTTTTTCAAGACAAATCTCTTTCTTTTATTATTTTCATATGACTGACCTATGTATTTGTGAAGATATTTGGTGGAAATGAAATAGTTTTTGCAGCAAGCATGGAAGATACTTGTTTTTTATTGACGGGTTTTATACTTTTATTACATTTGTATAGATTGTTTCATTCTCATAATAAACGGTGTGATATTAAGTACTCCTCCATTTTAAATTGTATAAGTTGTTACGGCTTTTCTAGGTGCATAGCTTTTGGTACGCACCTAGATATGTCTTAGTACATAGTAAAAGCTATGTATCTAGAAAAGGGAGAACGACTTAAAATTTGGAATGTAGGGAGTGTACTTTTGCTTTGTTAAGTCATGAATTATATTGTGCTCAAATTTATTTTGTAACATGAGCCATTTTGTAGGAGCAAAAACGTGTGGATTTCGAAGAAAGGAAAAAACTTGATCAACAACGAGCTAAATTTAAGTCGCAGACGGCTCAGTATGAGGATGAGCTAAAAAGGAAGCGACTGCAGGCTGAACATGAGGCGCAGAGGTTAAGGAACCAGGAGCTTGTGAAGATGCAAGAGGAATCTGGGATTAGGCTAGAGCAGATCAGGCGGGCAACTGAGGAGCAAATCCAGGAACAACGGAGACAGACAGAGAGGCATAGGGCCGATCTAGAGCAGGCGACCCTTTCAAAGAAAGCCATGGCAGAGGCGGAGGGGAGAATACTAGTAACAAAACAAACTGAAGATGTGAAAAGGCGATTGCTTTTGGAGGAGATAAATGCTGACAGGGAGAAGTGGATCCAAGTGATAAATACAACCTTTGAGCATATAGGAGGTATGCCTTACTAAGTGAATAGTTCTTTTTTGGACCTTTTTCTGCAGTTCTCTTAAGCTATTTCTAATGGTTTGTGTCAAATGACTTGGGTGATTTGATAAAACTTCCAAAGTTATTACTTGCAATTAAAACTGGCAATTGGATACTATATGGGTACCAGCATAATGTTACTGTATTCAAACTATTTACTCCTATGTTGTATCCAACCTAGGGATGTTAGGGGTCTTTATATGCTTATTATATTATGAAACATCAGTGGTGAGATATAAAAGTTTGTGACATCTTTGTTGTGTGATATCTTCTTTCCCTTTTTCCCCAGGTGGTTTGCGAACGATCTTAACTGATCAAAATAAGCTAGTGGTAGCAGTGGGAGGTATTACAGCACTTGCTGCAGGGATATACACAACAAGGTACAGTTCATTGTGGTCTATGTTTCAATTTCTGGTTTTAGTTATCTGGTTCACTCACCATAACTCTGCTGTTTCTTACTCTGCATTGGAGCTCATAAGTTACTGAATTAAACTGCTGCTGTGTATCCACCTCTCTGCTTTTAAACTCAATGATGAATACGAAACCAATTGTGGTGCCAGAGTTACATCTTATGCAATATACTGGTTTGAATTCTAGTAGTCACAGTATGATTAGTTGCTCTATTTCTTCTAAATTTGTCCCTTTGTTTGCTTTGGATGATACCTGTATCTACCGCATTTTGTTTTAAGATCAGCCTCTCCGCAGATTTTGCGGGGGAAAGGTTTGTCTCGGTTTATCCCTTCCCCAGACCCCACTCATGTGGGAGCCTCCAGCACTGGGTTTGCCCTTTTTTATCAATGCATATATTTCAAACTATTTCAAATGATGCAAGAGGAATCTGCACAAATGAACATAACCTTTGTGTTGATTTTTTTTTTTGGAGTAGTTTCTTTTTCACTCTTAATTCATGCACTAAAAGCTCACCTTTTGCTGATTTTGTTTTCTGCTTGATGCCCTTACATAGATTCACATATTTTTCCCCAGGGAGGGTGCAAGAGTAGTCTGGGGCTATGTTGATCGTATTCTAGGTCAGCCTTCACTGATAAGGGAGTCATCACGAGGGAAATATCCCTGGTCTGGTTCCCTCTCACGTGCTACAGGTACCCTGACTAGCAAGCTGAAGAATGGAAGCAACCTAGGGAAGGACGGAAATGGGTTTGGTGATGTTATTCTAAATCCTTCTCTCAGAAGAGAGTGAAGCAGCTTGCTAATGCCACGGCAAATCTGAAACTTCATCAAGCTCCTTTCAGGAACATGCTTTTCTATGGGCCTCCTGGCACAGGGAAAACCATGGCAGCACGAGAACTAGCTCGCAATTCTGTAAGTTTCATAGACCATACCTATGTCAGCATTAATAAAAAAAACTTGAAATGCTACTGCCCCATTAATGTTGTCGCCACTTACAGGGATTAGATTATGCACTAATGACTGGTGGAGATGTTGCACCATTGGGATCACAAGCAGTCACCAAGATTCATCAGCTGTTTGACTGGGCGAAGAAATCTAATAGGGGTTTGCTCCTCTTCATAGATGAAGCAGATGCTTTCTTGTGCGAGTAAGTGAAAACAAAATCTTCAGATACTTTTCTTGTTTGAACCTCCATGGCACCATTTGAATTTTCAGCATCATAACATGGAGTCCAGAAATTCTCTTCTGTTGCTAGCTTTAGCGATATTTTCGTGATTATCAAGAGAGTTCAAATCTATATTGTTGACTGTTATTAGTCATTCATCTATCACAAATGATTTTGCAAAAGAAATGCATGGCTCTATAACTAATCATCTAATCGCCAACTGTTCAGTGACTTGAAATGTGTTGAGACTTGATTGCACCAATGATTTTCTGTCATTGTTCTATTTGAGTGTGCTAAGATCCAATTATATTTCAGGCGTGTTTTCTCGCCCTTAACTTGCAAATTGTAGCGTTCTTACCCTTAACTTGCAACAGTGTTGACATCTCAGACTGATTTTTTGTACCCTGCAGACGGAACAAAACTTACATGAGTGAAGCTCAAAGGAGTGCCCTGAATGCTCTCCTCTTCCGCACAGGTGATCAATCCAAGGACATTGTCCTTGCACTTGCCACCAACAGGCCTGGTGATCTTGACTCTGCTGTCGCTGACCGTATTGATGAGGTCCTGGAATTTCCCCTGCCTGGGGAAGATGAGCGATTCAAGCTCCTGAAGCTATACCTGGACAAGTACATCATCAAAGCCGGTGACAAACATGAGAAGAGCTGGCTCCGTTTCTTCCGCCGCCAGCCCCAGAAGATCGAGGTGAAAGGCATCACTGATGACCTGATCCGGGAGGCGGCGGCTAAGACCCAGGGCTTCTCTGGAAGAGAGATAGCGAAGATGATGGCAAGCGTCCAGGCCGCTGTCTACGGGAGCAAGGACTGTGAGCTCACCCCAGGCCTGTTCCGCGAGGTTGTGGACTACAAGTTCGCTGAGCACCAGCAGCGGAGAAGATTAGCCGGTGAGGAGCCAAAGCAGAATGCCTAGGTTGACCTTTTTTTTCATTCACCCCCGTTTTGCCGTGGCATGTACTGTGTTTTTTCTGGGATAGATTGCTTCATCGGGCATGCGTTTTGCATGCCCCGTGTTATTCTTTTGCTCCATTCACCCTACTAGAGGGTCTTCTTTTGCTCCATTCACCCTACTAGAGGGTCTTCGGTGGTAGGCGATGATAACTTGATAAGAGATGAGGATTACATGTGGCTTGTGATGGAAACTTTGGCGATAGGCCACACCCAAAAAGCTGGCCGTTTTGATGCATGATACTTTTTGGTCAGTCTTGTATCTTCTTACTAATGCTTGTAATAAAATGGTCTGATTTACTGAGAAATAATCGGCAGTAGCTGTAATGGTTTTGGCATTGTTTTGCACTTTTATCTGTAATCGTACGGCTCTGGTTGTGAATGAATTGAGCAGTTTCGTCCACCCATGTTCGGCGGCGGTGCGCGACAGTGTCTTGCGCCGTCGATAGGTATACCGTATACCTGACATTCTCTCACCGTCGATGCAGCATTGTCATCTGTCACAACCAAACGGCTAAACATGGCTAGCCCCCTTGTTCTCCAACCGGCTCCCAGGTGGCCAGGTCGAGGTCATCGAACCGACTTACTGACCCTACCCTATCGCCACCGTCTCCTCCAGACGCCAGGGCGCCAGGCATGTCATGGCCACGAGCCCAGTGAGGCCTGGCGGATTTTTGTGCCGAAGCAGTCAAGAAGATACCAGCTGCCATCCTGCTGGACGGCGCCGCGACTGCGGCGGCAGAGGCAAATCCACGGGCAAGCGAATTGAGATTGATAAATACTACTCCATAGCAAACACTGCCCACCCGTAACAAATTTTCCAGTACAATCTGCACTTGACAACTGGGCGTCACATTGAGCTGCATGCTGGCACTCAACAGTGCAAAGTTACAACACAAAACCAAGCATTTCAGTAACCATTACTGCCTTCGACAAGTGCGAGACATCTTCCCCAAAATGCTTTCACTCGTATTTATAGATATATACAATCCAGACAAAAGATCTGTTGTGTAGTTCTAAACTTTTTCAGACATAAGGTTGCTGTATTCAGATCAGCTCGTGGCGCTTGTACAAGTGGAAGAGATACAGGCAGAAGCAGATGCAAAACACGGTTTAGCTACAATTGGCCCGAATTTTTTTATTTTTTTGTCCCTTTTTTAAAAGTTTTTTTTTACAAATATGTCTCTAAAGGTATGTTTTTAAAATCTGGACCCTTAGCTCGGCGTCATCGTTGGTGGCGCCGAGCTTATAAGTTTTGGCGCCAAAGAGTTTGGTGTCTAGGTTGGGGCCACGTTGGCGACATGGACGCTGACCTGGCAGGTATCACGGCGTCGAGGTTATTGGCGCCGAGCTTGGCGCCGTGGTTATTGGCGCCGTTCTCGGCGCCAAGATCTATGGCACCGAGGTGGTGTTTTAACCCGGTGTCCAACCTTCCTGCCTGAGTCTTCTTCCTCTTCTTTCTCCTCTTGGTTTTTTTCTCTTCCCACTTTGCCCTACCTCACGAATCGGTATATTAGACCATAGAAACTTTGATTTGATCCGTAGATTTTCGAGAGCAAGGTATCATCGCTCCCTCCTAGTTTTTTTTTCACATCGATTCGGTATATATTAGTCGGATTTTTCAACTTAAGAACTGTCATTACTTAGGGTTTCATTCAATTTTAATATTTATATTATACAACCGTAGGATACCAAGGCATGAAAAAGCTAGCAAACCAAGGTAACCTTAGCGCACGTTGTTATATTATGGGTTCATTATTGTGGATCAAATGGGAAACCCTAGGTGTAGGGTTTAATGTTAATTGCTTTCGGTTCTTAGAACGGAAATGGCTAAATTGTAGTTATGGCCGGATGACCGAAAGTGCCTTCGATCCATTGCCTCTGCCTAGTGGTGTTCCAGTGTCCATGTGCTTTTGCGACGATCCTTGCAAGGTAGCCAAGTCCGATGAAGAGGACACGTATAGGCAGAGGTATTGGATGTGTTCCAATTTTGCGTTTGAGCCTACACTTCGTCAGCGCCGCATTAACAATATGGTGATGAATTGATGTTGTGTAATAATTATTTTGTGTCATATGACATCTTGCATGATTTTTTTGTTTTGTAACAATTGCATTTGTTGCAGACCCCTCCACCGCTCTGTGATTTTGAGCAGTGGCTTAACACTGAGATCAAGCTTGAAGACAAGGAATGGATGCATAAACTGTTGCGGTGGGAGGCAGAGGACAAGGAGATGATGGAGAAGAGACGCAGAGATGAGGCTGCAGAAAGGAAGCACAAGGAAGAGAAGGAAAGGAGGCGTGTTGCTGCGTACAGGGAGGAGAGGGAGAAGAAGCTTGAGCGTGCACGCCAAGCGAAAACAGCGATGGAGGAGAATCTCGATGCTCCGAGGAAGGGAAAGTGGTCTCGTTGCACTCAGTAGTCTCCATTACTTGCTAGTTCTATGGTTTATTCATGAAGAATGTTGTCTATTGTTGGACTTTTCATTGTGTTGTCATGTAATGCACTTTAAGTATGGGCATGCTTAGGTCATGTACTGCGTTATTTAGTTTGTCGGCACGCACTTCTAGTATTATTGTGTTGTTTAATGTGTCATAGTATTGGACTTTTCATTATATAGTTATTTTCATTATTTGTGGTCATAATATTCAGTTTAATATTGCAGACGTAGTGAAATGTCATCACGTGCTACAAACAAAACCTAACGAAGTAGGACATTATATAATTCAACACAACACATAAAATGGCATGTGAGAACATGTACCGAACTAAGGTACAAAGGTCCTAAACTAAACCTAACATGCCTTAGGTAATTGAAGCGAACATCAAGCACACGAAATAGTATGTGAGAACATGTACCAAACAAGGATACATAGTTCATTCGACTAAATCTAACATGCCTTAGGTAATTAAACCAAACAACAAACACATGGATGTGCCATGTGAATAAGATAGGGTCGTCCTAGTAGTGTGGCCACATAGCAAATTGTGTTGCACCTTCTCTACAGTGGCCTCCCATTGTTGATGGTGGTGGCGGGGGTGACGGCGAAGGCCCCTTGTTCTTGTGATTAGGGCAGGTGCAATATGGATCATTGCAGAGTGCCTCCTGTGAACTTGCACCATTGTTGTTGTCATCGTCTTCGTCTTTCTTGTACCCGCCTCTAACTTCTCTTTGTAGATCGAAGATTTGGTCCGGCAAGTAGTAGATGTACTGCTGATGCGGATAAATTGGTCGAGGATCAACCCACCTAGTGAACCCATAATTTTCTTCGGACTCGGAAGACTACAATAAGTATGTCCTATGAGTTGTAAGGGTATTCGAGAAATATATTTAACAAACGAAATATAATAGCAATTACCCATGCTCGCGGGCATTTAAAGAAGCGACGACCTCCGTCGACCCCCTCGGTGAACATCTGCACTAAGCAGTCCTCACCATGCATGCATTTTGGCCAATCTTCCTTCATGTTATCGTATCCTCTAAGAGGGCACTCTTTAGTGAAATCACTCTTACTCTCGGGGAAAAACGGATACATTGGTTCCTCAAATTAATCAGGCCCAAGAGACTCATCTCATACAATGGAAGTTTCCTTCGCCCCCTTTTCTCTCCCACCCCCAAAACCCTTTCCTCTAGATGACCCTCCAGACATTCCTACTCCAACGAAACCGAATATTAGTTTGGTTTTCCTTTTGATTAGCAATGCATCCTAAAACGCATATATATAGGCGGAGGCAGGTTTGCTAGTCATTGTATTGTGCTGTAAATGCTTCTGGAAAGTCTACTCAGAATCACTAAAAAGCCTACATCGTAGGACACTAGAGAGCCTAGATTTTATGACTAAAAAACCTATTCGATTTCAGACTTCAATCACTATTTCGAAGGATACTGAAAATCTATTCGACGGTGACATAAAAAATCACTGTAAATGCTACATTATTTTACTAACTGCAGTTGAAGACGATGACATAAATGTACCTACCCGCTAGTCTACTCCGCTGCTGCTCAGCGGCTCAGTGCTCGACCACTCGCATGCAAGATTGGCTCACACGCATGCAATGTACGTAATAAGTTCTTTTGCATAAAATAGAAGGAAAGAAAATCTCAACCAATGTGATACATAATCATGTTCGGTTCTTTTGCATGAAAGAAAAGGTAATCTCAACCAATACGGTAGGCCGAGAGGCATACATGCATACTCATAACAAAAAAACAAATTGATTACTTAATGAATCGGACAAACTGATGACGCTGATTAATACGTACTGTAGGCAGAAAATTTTAGCAAAAATTTCCCTATTTTTTGATGCAATTCATACACAAATATGAGATGAATATTTAACCTCAATACAACATGTTCAAACATACAAATATATGCCATATTCATCTGAAACCATATACATGAACATATTAATAATCCACACAGTCCATAATTATAGTCTATAGTAGTTCATAGTTAATAATAATAGTACATACAGTCCATAATAGTTTATAATAAAAATCCACAAAGTCTATAATAGTACATAATAACATCTACCACAAACCCTCACTGCCTCCTAGTCTTACCCTTACCCTTGTGACCAAGAGCGTTGGTGCCTGAAGTGTAAGGGTCAGGTGGACGGTGTCGCATAGTGTGTGAAGACTGTGTAGGCTGAGTCGAGAGAGCGTCCTGGAGCTGAGACGGGTCAACCACGTCGTGCCTCTAGTCCACCTTGTCGTCGTCGTCCTCCTCGTCCTCGTCCTCGTACGCAATACCTATGGACCCTCTAGGTGCTTGGCTAGACGAACCTAAGCCTCCTTTGCCTGCGAAAGGAACGTACACGTCTTGCGTCGTGGCTGTCCTGCAACCACAACGAGCAGCCGCACAGCATAGCCGACGTGACAGTCTCTGTTGTACAAAATTATGTTAACTGAAAGAATTTAACGTATTAATAATAAATTTAAAAGAATATTTTGAATCTTACGTCTAGAAAGTTACGCGTGTCGTCCCTGACTCTCGGACGAAAGCGCTCAATGTCTTCAACCGAGCATTTGAGGGTATTGCCCTGCAACAAAGTTCTCAGTAAGATTGTGATGGTGTGTTGGCTCCTCCACAACCAAACATAAACATTAAGTAATGAACTAACTACAGTCAGAAACTTTTTTTTCTTCTAAAATTACAAATAAAGCTTGTTTTTTTTCTTATAAAATTCCAAACAAAGCTTGTTTCAATAAAGCTAGCTTCTAATTAAAACTCCTACATTTACTTCTCGACAGATAGCAACAAGTTCTTTTTTAGAAAAAAAATTTCACTAAACAACTACTATGACTAAACCCATCAGAATTTGTACCGTCACCAACAGGCCATCACAATATCCATTTGGTCATGCATCAAACTCCATCCAGTCCTCTTCTGAAGGCATACTTATATTGCGCCATCCTACAAAAAAAGGTCAATGAAATAAAAATTTAATATATAATGAAACATAAGCTTAGAAATGTATAAGTAATTGACACAATTACAAACATAAATTGAGACATACATAATTAATTGAATAAATACGACAAATATGAAATAATAAAAACAACCAATAGTCGCACCCCACTAATCTGCCAATGGCAAGTGCGTGGATTGTGGCCTAGTCTACCACACTTGTCGCACTCGTACTGCTCGGAGTCAGTAAGAAATGGGGTTCCTCTCCCACACCTCGTTCTTCCGGGTATCTTATCCATAACCATGCTGTGTCTCGCCCTCTTCCTTGATCCACGCTTGTTCCAACAGTAAGCTAGATCCGCAATGTACTTTGGCCCATCATATGGAGGCCACTCTCTATGGTCCTGGAAAGGCACGAAGCGGAGGCTCCATGTGTGCACAAGCGTGTCGACACTGAATTCGTGAGGTATCCTGCTCTCGATATTATAGTTGCGATGCCTAGCTACTACCACCAAATGAGAACATAAAAAGTGGTACTGCCTTGGTTTACTACAAGTGCATGTAAAATCTTAGAGGATTAACACATGAGGGATGGGATCAACTAACACCCGACGCAGAACTACATCCAAACTTTGGAACTGGCACTTCATAGCCGATTTCACGTAGTTCTCCCACTGGTCTACACATCAAATTGGGATCATCTTCCTTAGGATGTTGGGAGGGGAACCTAGGTGAAATACACCCTCCACTGCGATGCCATCATCTCCATGGCAATGTAGCTCCTCCCGAGCCCTTGCAACCAACTCATTAAATGAAGGCTTCTCATTGAATAACACAGGCACGTTTTGCATCTCAACAAACTCAACATATCCATAGTGATCTCTTTCCACGGTGCCTCCATGAGATATGCTCACTAGGTTGTACATCTAGTTCATACACATAAGGACGCACAATTCCTTTAGTCCAATATAAATGAAGCATACTAAGTACAAGGTCTCTAGTATGTAATAACTAACTAAATAGATACTATCAATTCACCACTAACTACTAAGTACTACTAACTAACTATGTTAAGTAACTATCTAACTATGTAACTAAGTATATAACTATTTAACTATCTTACTAACTAAATAACTATGTAACTAACTATATATCTCACTATGTAAAGTATCCATCAATCAACCTATCAATCTAAATATCTTTCTACCTATCTAAATCACTACCACACTAACCAACTAATAACCACTGTTAAATAACAAAATTTAAAAACTAATGTACCTCGAGTGCAGGGGAGAAGCAGCCGGTCGACAAGAGGTAGAGACGGCTAGCGGGGAAGCTGTCGTGCGCCCACGCGTGCACCCAGCCGGCAACCGGAGTGGCCAAGCGGGCGGGGGCGGGAGGCCACAGGAGGTTGGCAAACGACACCCCGCTACAGGCCTAGGACCCCCGCTGCCCTTGTGGAGCGGGCAAGGGAGGGCGACGTAGCAGGGGTCGACGCGGTCGCGGCCGTCCAGGTTCGATGGCGGGTAGGGCGGCGCAGCAGTCGTGGGCAGGGCACGGCACCTCGTGGCTCGGCGCGCGGGGTGGGGATGGGCGCAGCCGGGCACTCCCGACCGACGCGACACGACACAGCGCACGAGGCTCGACGGCCGGGGCGTACGTCAGCCGCGCCGATGCTTCGAGCGGGCTTCGCCACCGCAAGCAAGGCGACGACAAGGGATGGGCTGGCCGCGACCAAAAGCGCGGGACAGTATGGGATAACGGCGCGCGCACCGACGAGCCGGGCCAGCGCTCGGCGGTCTTGCCGAGACAGAGGCGTGAGAGAGAACGGGAGAGGACGAGAGGGGAGGAAGGAGAGAGAAATGGACCCACCTGTAAGGCCGGAACGGCGCTAAGATATGTGGTGCCAATGTGCCCCAAAACCTAGGCGCCAAGATCCACGGCGCCGAGCTGGTTGCCATGTTACCCCCGGCTCTACTTTGATGCCGACGTGGCCCCCCCAACCTAGGCGCCAAACCCTTTGGCGCCGAGACGTGTAAACTCGGCGCCACCATCGATGGCGCCGAGCTAAGGGCCTAGATTTTGAAAGCATTACTCCAGGGGTATATTTGTGAAAAACTTTCAAAAAAGGGCCAAAAAAATAAAAAATTCGGACAATTTGCTGGCGACGCCCAACTCAAGCTCATTCAGCAGTCACGGCTCCTAGGGACATCACACTCGTCAAGTAGCGCTAGGATGTTGTGCTCAGGCGCACTTACGAAGGGCAATATGGCACGCCTTGGAACTGCAGATCGTGACCTAGCACTGCTACTGTCAGGCTCAAGCTGCGACCCTTCCTTCACGACCGGCAAATCTGTTCTCACCCTCGTGCCGACTGAAGACATTTTCTCCTTCCATATCCTCCCATCCTAATCTGTTCTCACCCTCGTGCCGACTGAAGACATTTTCTCCTTCCATATCCTCCCATCCTAGCATCCATCAGACCATCAGTCAATAAAACCAATAAGGGAACAGGTAAAGACTGAAAGATCCGATGTTTTGCTATTAAGGAAATATTGAACTTGAAGCAAACAAGACCAGACTGTTAATCAGAAAGGTAAGATGAGATCGAGTAGTTTGTTGTTAGCACAACACTAAATTCTGCAACTCAAGGCAGTTCACTAATATGATTAACACTTCAGTCTGCAACATCTTCTCCTTCATATCCTCCTATAGTCCTATCCTAGCATCCATCGATCAAGTTAGACCAATTAGGCAACAAGAAGTTTGCACCCTATGATGCTTTTGCAGTTTTGCTACAAGGGAAATGATACTTCAAGTATTGAGGAAAAACGAGGAGCGAATTGTTATTGTAACTAATCTGTAACGCAAGAAAGTTTCCTAAAATGGTCTAACATTACATTCCGCAACACAAGAAAGTTTCCTAATAACGTTCATCGCTGAATGCTGCAAGACAAGAAAATTACTCTCACCTTATCAACAACGTGATTTTCTAGGCGATTTTTCAATAAGCACCAAGAGGATGGCTTACATGCAGTATAGATGGCTCAGGAAGTGGGCATTTTACTGGCTCATCAAGATTGAGAGGTTCCACAGGGTGCTCCACCGGCTTGAACTCAACGCCAACCTCAATACCGTGAGGGCTCTCTGCAGGAACAGCTGCTGGATCAGACTCTCCTGTACTAATGTTGGGGGCCAACGTCTCGACAACCTCCTGCAGGATGAAAGCAGAATTCCCATAAATTAGACGAGCAGAAAGGTCCAATTGCACAAATTCACTAGGGTTACTTCTGATGCTTGGCTTTAGCCAATCAATAATTCCACTCCGCCTGACTACATAGTAATTGTAAAATTTCTCATGAACAGATTTATAGTGAGAACAAAAGCACTCAACTTTCCCCAATTTTTGAGCTGCAAGGCCATTCAAATTCAATGAAATAAAGGTAACATAAATAAAATCTAACAAAAACGGCAAGCTAAAACCATCCCGATCAAAGAATCGGAAGAGGAACTAAAAAGGTGAGATACCGAGTCCTGGAGACAGCAGAATCCACCCATGAACAAATAGGGGGTCAAATGAAACCAGCCCAAATCTGACTCTTGCACGGCTTCAAGAAGCTAAGCTAACCTACTGTTGACCTGATATGGTTATAAACAAGCAGATCCCTTCTTGGAGTTGGGGAAGTAAACTACAGCAGAAACGACATGGAAGTACAAAGTGGGGCATGATAGGGAAAGGAGAAAGAGGGAGAGGAGAGAACTCACGGCCACGCTCTTGGAGCAGCGGTGGGCGCCGGCGGAGAACCTGGAGAAGATCCCGACCATCGTCTCCTCGGCCCCCGCTCTGGCTCGAAGCTTTCTTTCTCGGAGTTGAACCTTGAACGAAGCAGTCCGCTTTTCTTGTCCGCAGGGAGCACTGATCGATGCACTAGCAGTGATTGACCAGTCGATTTTTTTTAACACTTTTTAAACTAATTTTAAATCTAAAATTATTTTTTTTTTCAAAAATAACACGGTTAGACGTGCCTGTTGCCATGACATGACGAATGGTGACGCGGCAGGAGGCTGACGTGGCGACGACCAGGGCTGCTGACCTGTGACGTGGCAGGGTTTGTCGCGCCACCTATCTTGACGCGGTAGTGACGCGCTACGGAGCATGGCGCGACAGTACCTGGACGGTTTAATCGAAACTTTCCGCGTCGATCCTTTTTTATTACGTCTTGTTTTTACTCCTATTGGGAGTTACTCTACGTATTACTTGACGTAAAACCAATAGTAGATTTGTTTCTGTCTTTTGTTGAATCTTTTTCATGGCTCGATAGAGAATTTGATAAGCCAATGATTTTTTTCCATCTTTCATAATACGGTTAACCACCATGTTAATTAACCGATTACGAAAAATTGGATCGGATTTTACAGTTCTTTTTTCTGCAGTACCTCGACGTGACATGAGCGTGAAAGAGATTCAAGAATCCGTTTTCTTTTTATAAGGACTAAAAACGAATCACTTTTTTTTGCTTTTAGGCCCCATATTGTAGGATCGGTGGCGACGCGACCATGGACCCCGGCTTCCTCGACCCCTCGCGTAGCACGGTCGATTGCTGCGCGTCTAACCAGGGTGCCTTCTTCGACGATTTCGTGACGGCGATGACCAAGCTTGGGAGGATCGGGGTCAAGACGCCGGCCACCAGCGTCGAGATACGCCGGGACTGCCGGTTCCTAAACTAGTTGCTACTTAATCTCGTCAGCAGTGCTGCTGCGACGCATTGAAATGAATATGCAGCAAATAAATAAACTCCGTGCGCAAGTTGACAAGCTGCCACATAATAATTTCAATGGTTTGAAATAAGTTCGACATAACATAACCAACTAAGCCTGCAAGTTTCGGATGCCAATATTCGTTCGACCTAACAAACTAAGACCCAAGAGTGTAAGGATCCCTCGGACGCCTCTGTCTCTTCGAATTTGTTGGCAACACATTGGGAGTGTAGCTAACGTCGGTGTAGTCGCGCCGCCGGTGCGTACGGCTCGTACCCTGCAAGTATATGATATGCACGATTACTTATAATCTTTATGATCGTTAGTTGATGGAGCCTACGTATTTAAAGAAACTACCTTTGTTAGTACATGTGAGGCTCCTTAGGTACCAAGCGGGGCACCACCTAGCTGAGACATGCCGATCTCGTCCTGCGGCCAATCATCCCACTAGTCGTGCTGTCTGCGAAAGCCCGGGGGGTCGTCGTCGTCATCATCATCGTCGTCCTCGCCGTCCTCGGTTGCAAGGTCCTTCCCAAATAGCTATGATGTGGTGGTGTACGACCGCAGAAGTTGCATTTGTCACCGATCGAGAAGAGCCGGTGGTGTCCTCAAAGAGGTCAAGACGTGCCACCCGATCAAGGCCGGAGTGGCGGTTCCACCCAAGGAGTGTCCATGCAACTCAACCTTCCGAGCTAGCTTCCTGCAGCTCTTCTTCACCTTCTGCATAAATAGACATTAAAGTTAGTGCATTTTCCAAACGCATATACACTAAAGAAATATTTTTGGAACGGACAAGTTTATGTTTACCTCCACAAAAGCCTCGAGAACGCCCGACCCCTGCCCTCTAGACTCGTAAAAGCCAAAAGCATTGCTTGCTTAGTATCCTCCTGACAATTGTGTAGCCTGGGTATAGAAACACGGTTGGACAGTTTTAGTTCACATACTTAATACCAAATGGATAACAAATTGTACCATTCAAGTATCTTACCACGTATCTTTGAAGCGGGGCTCTCTGTAGCTGTGTGTCCTCCCTAGTGGCAATGTCGTACACATCTTCGATCACATCTTCCTCTGAGTCCTCGCCAATCGCCTCTTCAGTGTACTGGGGCTTGATATGTGTCCTCGTAGACCTGTGAAGCCACCGCAGGTACTCGTCGAAGGAGTTCTGGTCGTGTGGAGGACCCGCACGGACTGGCTGTCATTCCCTATTCTGCCACAAGTGGATGTGCGCGTTGTGTGTCACACGCCAATCCTTGGTCCTGTACCCCTTCCGGCTGTCATACCTGCAACAAAACGATGTTAGTTGTACCACATACACCTCTAAATTGTAGCTTTGTTATTAATCGATAACGCACCCGTGCAATTCTTGGTTGGTGGAGTAAAGCGGTGGTGGGCAGCCTGTCATTCTTCTAAACTATCTGTAGACCTTGATGGGCAAGTGAATCTTGACCACGTGGAAGAAAATAAGAGGGACGTTGCAGCGATACTCGTCTGACTCATCCCTAGTGATAGGACTGAGATAGTACTGGAGCTCCGGAGCATCCCAAGGACACCAATGCACCTGAACATTTCGTAATTGAGTTAGGTTGTGATATAGTGTACATCGAACAAGACACGTGTATGATAGTAAAGAGAGTGTAACCTGGTGCTGTGTCAGGACGTCGAGACCGTGCGTGTACTCTCTGTACTTGCGCCTCGCATTCCCTCTAACTAACTCTGCTTTCGTCCAGATATACAGAGCTGTAGGGAGTGTATCCTGCCCGTTCCATTGCTGCATTGAACACGATAATGAATTAGCTATTAATAATCTTATCATATGTAACTGCCTCGAAGAATACAGTGAACTGAAGTACTTAGTGGTGAACCAGTATTAAGGGGCCTCCCAAGAGGCCATCGTTCCCAACACCAAACCTAGAGTAGGTAGGAGCAACCCCCAAGGTTCGCATACCCTGAGGTGCGACGGCAGACAACGCATAGCTGTCGATACATCCATGCCAGGACTGCGCTACCCTAGCTGTACGCCACTATGTTCTCCTACGACTGACGTAGTATGTCAAGGAAGATCCAGCTGATGGTGTTGCCCGAGGCGTCTGGGAAGAGGAAAGCACCAAGGAAGTGCTAGAGCCACATTCTAGCGAACCTATCGATCTGAGCCTCCTCAGCATGTGGGTCCAAGTAATCAAATCGCTCTGTGATCCAGGACGACGAAACACCAGAACTTTCCCTGAAATTCACCAAAGAAAATGAGACCCGAAGGCTGTAGGAAAGTAATTCAAGTATTAAATAGGCTTGAATTGCTCACTTATTTTTCTTTGAAACTTCATCGTCAGGTGGAAGAAAGCCAGTGAACTGAGCCACCAGCTCCCTCCAGTGATCGTTGTCAACTATACCCGTCACTGGAAGTCCTCCCAACTGAAGGCCAAAGATAGCCTTCATGTCCTGCATGGTTAAGATCATCTCGCCGCAAGGTAGGTGGAATGTGTGGGTTTCAGGCCTCCACCTATTATAAGAATAGAACGACTGTTAGTTGACTTAAATTTGTTATAAGAATGTTTACGTACAAAGAAGACACTCGCACCTGTCTATAGCTGTAGTAAGTAGTGCTGGGTCAAGGGGCGGAAGACCATAGTTGACAACACGGACAAGCTCGAGGAAGCCAGCACGCCGTATATATGGCGCGTAATGCTCGTCCCACTGGTGCGTCCTGGTGTGCGTGCGGGGCCTCAAAGGAGGCAAGGCCACCTCTGCTTCGGTGTCACTCAAGATGTGTGCTCGGTGCTGGTCGTCGTACTCCACCTCAAGAATGGGATACAACGGGTGCTGCGTGGGAGGGGGCATCCTGTTATAAATTGATAAAAAAGGGTTAGAGTATTCAAATTAACAATATTCAAATTAACATTATGTAGCATTGCAAAATTTAAACTACTTGTTATGCAATACGAACACAATATGAAAGCACATGTATATATTCAAAGTAACATTAATAGACATATTAAACAACTTCACTAGGAAAATAAGCATTTGACGAAACTTCATCAAGTCATCCAAATCGACGTATCACGTACTACTAAGTACCAACACTTGAAAACTAGTATCTATACCTAAAATTCCTAACTAAATAACTAGCTATAAACTAAATAATAAATACCTAATCAATCCCTAAACCCAAAATCCTATCTAACAGTAACCTAAACCTTAACTACCTAACCAAACCTTAACTATACTACAACACACAACCTCAAACCTAAAAACTACCTACCTAAATCACAAACAAATTCACTAACCTAACTATCCTAAATCACTAACTATACTAAATTACTAACTATCCTAAATCAATAACAATCATAAAACCCTAACTATCCTAAATCACTAACTATTTTAAATCAAGAACAATCATAATAACATGAAATCGAGAGGGAGGTACCTTGATATGAGCGGGCGGCCGTGACGCGCCGACGTTCGTGGCGCGACCGGCGGGGGCGCTGCGCGGCGGGAGTGGGCGGGCGCGGCCGGCGCTGGTGGGCGACCGTCCAGGCGCGTGCGGGGGCTGGCGGCGGGGCGCGGCGCGGCATGCGGGCAGGCGAGCTAGCGTGCGGGCTCACGATATTTATCTGGTCCGGCCGCGCCATTCACCGTGGCGCGTCAAGATCGGTGGTGCGACAGACCCTGCCACGTCACTGGTTAGCAGCCCCGGTCGTCGCCACGTCAGGCTCCTGCCGCACCACCATGCATGGCGCAACACAGGCGTTTCGCCTCGCCATGGCAATAGGCGCGGCCAAAAGTGTTACTTAAAAAAACAGTGTTAGATTTAAAATTAATTTACAAAAAGTGTTAAAAATATAAAAAAAATCGACCTGTCCGAGTGGTTTTATTTAATCGATCTCTCTTTTGTTTTCTGCTTTTTTAGTGAGCCGATTACAGTATTAATTAGTACTAACTGTAGCACCTTCTGATCCATCCATTCCTCCTTAGAAGGAAGTGTCAGGCGCAGTACCAGTCTCAACAAAACTGATGGTTTCTGCCTGGTTAGACTGAATAGAGAGCCTACAAAGAAACACAAGATATGT